ATAATCCTTATGTATGTAGCTATAGCATGGGCATCCTAATAACTTTAGCATGAGCAGTTTGATAACTATGACATGAGCAGCCTGTTAACTATAGCATGAGCAGTTTGCTAACTTTAGTATGACAAGTCTGATAACTATAAACCAGCAACCTGATAACTATAGCAAGAACAACCCAACAACTACATAATAACCAAATTGGTAACTATACCATGAACAACTTCATAACTTTACCATGTGCTATTGGGTAACTACATAATTACCTCGACTACTGTATCTCGCGAGAATTGTTGAAATCAACCTTGTCCTCGGGTAGTCTCTCCATTACCGACATCATCTATGGTTACAAAATGTGATGCATTGATGGACTAGAGAAACCCAATAAAAAAACAACCTTTTTTGATATGGTAGTAAAGATAAGGGTTTGAATACCTTGTTTACGTATAGTGGGTAACAACCAAAGATGGTTGAGTTGATTATTGGGGTCAGTAGCAACTCAACAGACCCGAGTTCAAATCCCGGTCCATGCAATGTCTTTGTCCCCCCCCCATCCCCCGTAGCAAGCAAAATCGAGAAACCGGTAACCAGGTGAGTGGAAAAAAGTTCAGTGAGGCAGTGTGGGAATAAAAGTCCCCATGCAAAAAAAGAGACTTGAAAATAGAGTGAGTGAAGAAAAACACTTGGTGAAGGGGTGTACTGATAATACCCACACGAAAAAAGAATTGGGAGACCAAAAATCAAATAAGTGAAAAAAAAACGGGCAGTGAACCGGTGTGAAAATAAGAATGGGTGAACCAATTCACTCCCCTACGCTGCCCAAACCTTGGCAAAGTTTCCTTCATACAAATAAGATTGTAGTTCAAATATACTCCCTCCGTCCGGGTTTATTAGGCCCCTCAGAGGAGGGAGCGCGTCCGTTTTTATTAGGCCTCTCTGCCTCGATCAGGTTGCCAAGAGAGAAAACGGTTGGTTCCTTCCCCGGTCTATTCAGCTTTTTGGTTCATCTTCTGAAGCGCGATGATTTCCAGCCGTAGGCCAAGAGCTCATGAGCTGTTAACTAGGCATACTAGTACCCCCTAGCAATAACGCCAGGCTACCCATCCAGTGCATGGGCTGCTAATTCTCCTTTGATTGGACATGCATGCACCATGCAGGGGCGTGTGGCTGCATGGGATTATTTTGGCTAGTAAATCATGCATTGGAAACGAAAGAGCACTTAGTCCAGGGAATTACTGGCCATTACTCAATGTGCATTGGTACCTGAGCTTTGGTTGGGGGCCTAATAAATCCGGACGGAGAAAGTACCAACTAGATGGCAGTCTTGTTGGCTAGTATAGCTATTAGTACTCATCACGTTGGTTTTGAGTTCGATGCCAAGCTTTGGTATCTATTTTTTGGTCTAAAATACCGGACGTAGAGCGCACTCTGGGCCAACCATATGATCAAATTGTCCTAGGTTCATACATATCACGGCCGTGTGAATGTGATCGGATGGCTCGCAGCTATTTCTTCCGTTCAGAATTACTTGTCTCGGATATGGATGTATCTAGAACTAAAATATATCTAAATACATTCATTTCTGCGACAAGTAATTCCGAACAGAGGAAGTAGTATCCGACTGCAAGGTGCTCTTTTTATTTCATACTCATACTAGCAAGTTACTACTAATATCCGACTAACTAACTGAATCCAGCACCAAATGGAAATGGAAGGCCAAACCCAAAGCAAAGGTGTGCTGTTTACACTGTCTCATGGTCAACAACCAAGAAAGGCTCACTTAATCAATCAATGGCGGTCACTAATACCTTTACTTTTTTGAGAAAACACAAACCCCGACAAAAACAAATCTAGCAAATATGTTGACTCATCTTGTCGACACAAACGTTGTATCACTAAAAGCATAGCGCCTGAAAGCCTAAAATAAAATCTAGCAAACATGCGACCGCTCCATGTTAACTCCAGAACTTGAATCCAGACCAACCGGTTTCACCAGGAGAAGAAACATAACCATCTTTCGTTCTTTCTTTCTATCTTACTTTCTTGTTAAAAAACTAGTCTTTGGGTCTGTTTCAGCTCGAATCTGTATATCAAAAAGGGATTCCCCCCGTTTTGTATACAAAGCAACCAACCGAGACAACGAACGATAGGTGCTGGGGCGGAAATAGCAATCACGCCCAATAGAAATGAAAGAGAAAATACAAGAGAAACAAATGCCGACAACGGCGGATCGACAAAAAATGAAGAAGCCTCGTAACCGCTGCATCCACCGGAGATCACCCACCAAGCTCCGAGCCTCCGAAGCGCCGGTACCAATCAACACCTTCAAGAAGGGGCGCGGCGGCGACGACGCTGCTGCCAAGGGTTTCCCCCGGTACGCGGTGAGGAGAGAGGAGGGTAGCCTCGACGCCCTCCAGAAGGTCCGGCGGCACCCTCATGCGCCACCGCTCGGTGTCAGCCAAGCCAACTGGGATTTCTCCCAATCCCAACCTCCACCTCAGGCACTCTGGAGCTCGTCACCAAACAGAGCACCACCCTGCGCCAACCCGGTCAAGAAGCTTCCCACGATGTCTCACCACGGCAATGCGAAGCATGGCCTGCACAATGAAGAAGAGGAGCCGGGACTAGGGCAACAGCATCGTCGGCACGCGTGTGGGCCCCACCTCCACCGTCAACAACGGTAGCTGGCCAGAGGCAATAGCAGGAACATACCTTCGCACTGCATCGCCGCCCCTGTCCAAGCCGCTCCCCTGCCTCTCGGCACAGAGAGCGTCAAGGCCGAGCCATAGCCGGCCCGCTAGGACCCAGATGAGGCCCTACGGGCCCAGATCTGGGCCGGGGTCGCGACACCGGCCACCCAGCACCACCGGACCGCCCCGCCGCCAAGTGGAGGCACGAGAAACTCTCTTTCACTGCCATAGAAACTCTCTTTCAGCTCGGATCTGTATACAAGAGCAAGGAAGGAAACAGTCTTCTTTTTCACTGCCACAGAAACTCTTTTTCTTTCTCTCTTGCTCAATTAATTTTACTCCAACTGCACTATATACTTGTATATGTGGACTACTACGTGTATGTCTGTTTTAACAACTCAAATCGTTGCTGGCAGGGTCTGTTTTGGTCAACTCAAATAATACAGTATGTTCTATCTTCTCTTTTCTTTCCTCTCTTTCTCAGGCAATCAAGTCAAATCAGTGCCATTAGCTGCTGCATTAAACATATGGGCCTGATGTGTGTTAGTGCATATTTTACTATCCATGAAATAAGTTAATGTATTTTGAAAAGTGTTCATGTCAGTTGCGAAAATGCTTTATAAAAAAGATGACAAACTTAGTTATATTAAATTTTAATTTATTTTTAATAGGAAAAAGTTATAATATAAAAAACAAGCATTGTACTATGTGTAGATCGGTGAAAATTGCTTGACCATTTTCTTTAATGGATTCATAATAATAAATCTAATTATGAAATCAAAAGGCACTGCAAAAAAATATGATAAAGAATAAAAATATATTATATATAATAAGAAGACAAAAGGAACAAAAAAAACTAAAAGGGATAGAAAATAGGGTCGACGAACACCCGCTAATCTCGGCCCAAGTAGGGGTGTGGCCCAAATAGGAGAAGTGGCAGGGGAGTTGAGGACCATATCACAAGCACAAAGAGTTCTTTCTCTCTCCCAAAAAAAACAAGCACAAAGAGTTCCTCCCGCGTTCAGGAAAAAGAAACTACTCGGCGGGGACAAGAATACAGGTTGATTCTACGAATACTCATCGTTTTTTGCAAAATTTCCGATGGACGGGTACAAGCAGTTTTGTCTTTATTAATAGATATAGATAAGATATAAGATATATTTCAATGGATGAAAACGTTTTGCATGGATTAATGTCAAATATAATGTTTTGCAACATCTATGAGAAAAGAGTTCATGAATGTTTAATAAAATATACATGCATGTCAAATATAATGTTGACGCAATTTTTTTTAAAACAATTTAGAGAAGAGAAATTGTTAGTGTGTAACAAAATACCTCAAAATATATTCTGCTATGCATGTAATATGTTAATGTATCCCAAAACACACGGTCAAAAAGCAGCACCGAGGCAGCCAGATCGCCGGTGCTCGCAAGGACCAGGTCGAATCGGAATAAGTCGAGGACACGGATAGGGACTCGTACTCTCGCCGTCGCCGAGGAGGACGGCCGACTCTTGCCGGGACTCGGACCCCTCCAGCGTTTATATAAGAACAGAGGCACCCCATCGAGCCAACACCACACAACACGTCCGATCAAAGAAACACAAGCTCTCGAAACAGCTAGCGAAGCAAGTCAACAATGGCGAGCGGCAGGAGGGATCTCGCTAGCCGTGCTGCTCCTGCTCTTCTTGCCTAGCACCGCTGCCGCCGCCAACGTCCCCAGCATCGACGCCACGCGGACGCGCCACCTGCCGCTGCCACGCGGACTGCTGCGCGGCCCGGAGAGCGTCGCCTTCGACGCCAAATGTTGCAACAAAATCAATCCAATGTTGCAACAAGAGAACTATTTTGTAAGTGAAACCAATTGTTCACGAATTGGAATCAACTAAGTGACCGCTAGCAAATCCACAAATGAATCAACATATTCGTTCGTAATTGAATCTAGAAAAGAAAACAGTGGTTCGCGGAGCAACAAGAGGCAAAACATATGTTGCACAAGAACATCACCGTTCTTCCATTACACTACAAAGAATCGTCACATTATTGTTCATCATCGCACCAAACATCCATGAATAATCCAATCCCCCGACGTATATATATCCCCCAGACTCACCTGCACATACGAAAAACGCCATATACAAAATACACAAGCGCCTACACGGACCGATCCGAATCCGACGAACCAGCTACACTCCTTTGCTCCCGATCAACGGCTGTGTCACTCCCCCCTTCCTACCTGAGCTACAACGCCGTCACAATGGCAGCCAAGAAAAAAGAACATGGGCAGAAGAAAGTTTTCATCTGTGAACCACCGGCTAGATCAGCCCGGTGTACGCATTGCCCTGGACGGCGTGGAGGGGCATCATCCCGGTGCCAGCGCCGCCATAAGGGTGTTGGGCGCCGGCGGGCGCAAACGGGTTCGCGCCGAATGGGTTCGCTGGGGCCGCCTGTGCCTGGTGGTATTGTTGTGCCTGAGGGTGGTGGCTGGCCATCATCATCTGCTGCTGAAGCATGAAAGCCTGCTGCTGCTGGGCCATGGCGGCCATCTGCACCGCATGGGGCGCCGCATACCCGTTTGAGCCGTAGAACGGGTCCTGCATTGCTGCTGGCTGTTGCATCATCGGGGCCGGGGCGGCACCGGTGGTCTCCCAGGGGTTGTAGCTCGCGGGCTGGCTCGCTCGTCGGTTCGCGTCTTCGTATAGGCTGTCAAGGGTGAGCAAGTCCAGTCCACCAGCCTGCAAAAGGTGTCAAGTTTAGTATGACCAAAGGATGATCAGCAAGACAGGGTATAGTTGTTGCATCTATAGGAAAATGTATCGTACCAATTTTTTGCCTGAAGCGACGGCAGTTTCATTTGAACTGGGTGCAGTGACTAGGGCCAGTTCCCAGCCTGTGACTCCATTTTCAAAAGCAGGAGCGGCCTGGGGCACGTCATCTGCAGTGATCAAAAATAAATTAAGGGCTGTGCATTGACCAGATTCCAAGCGATGAAAAAAACACCTGTTTCAGTTCACAGGAGAGAAATAAATGTGTACCTATTGGAACAATTGCCAGCGCTAGAGCGTTCCTCTCGTCTATCTCGGCCACAGCAGGGTGTGTTTCATTCAGACCCTGACAAGCAAAGGAAGTGTTAGCAGAATCTATGCATGGGTAGTGACCTCTTTGTGACTGTGAGTAGCAGTGTAGCACAGGATGTTACCAGCAAGTCTGTTGGTTCAGCAGCAGGTGCTTCCTCTTTTACTGGCTCTGGTTCTGGTTCAGGCTCTGGCTCTTGTTCCACTTCGGGCTCTGAAACCGGAGGCGGTGAAGTTGGCTTGACCTCCTCCTCTGGCTCTTTGTTGTATTCTATAGCCAGTATGGCCTGGAAACAAATCAAATGGGCTCAGAGCAAACTCAACAAGAAACACATAGGAAAATCATGAAAAGGAAATGATCGAAATAGTTGCAGGGCCAAGTAACTCCTAGCAATTTGCATTACATGAGAAGTTCCAAATTATGTGCAATTACACACATACCTGATCATGCTAATCATTTACTAGGATGAACATGCAACTTTCTTTTCTTTTTTGCTTAAGGCTCGTTCGGAAACCAGCATACAGAACATTAATTTAGCTGCACTTCTCTAATATATTTACTCGGCTCTAACAGACACTATTACTAGAAAGCTAACTGAAACGAAGTATAGAGAACTGGCTAGCAACCCAGATAACAAAGTACACAACCAATGCTAGTTAGTTTGTTAGAAACTAGTTCTGAGCTAAATTCATTGTCCTCCTGATAGTGGAGATTCTGATATCTAAATGATGATGTCTTACTTGATATCCACACACCCCTATCTATAACAAAGTTCTGGTTTTAACCAGTTTCCGAACCTTATCTTTCATCGCGGGAGCATCTCTCACATATTCCTCCATAGTTTGCATGAATGATGCCGGAGGCTGTAGAAGTTATAAACGGAACGCTGTCAGCTGCTTGCTAACATGGAAAACAGATACCAAAGACTTGCAAATCAAGTATGCAACGAACCTGTTCAATTTTCAAGAACTTCTCACCACGTGCTACGTGTATTGTTTTACACACTTCATAAAATTCTGACAATCTCTCAGACTGCGAAAGAAAAAAGAAAAAGAGAGGATGAAAAATCCAACAATATCAGTTAGATTACATATTCTTATTCAACACAGTTCACAAGGATTAAATCAGTGGCTCAGAATTTCAGTTTTAAAAATCAATCAGCATCAGTGGAGCTGATGAGGTTGAAGGGGGAAAACATGCTTTTATGATGGGTTTTATTTCCATACATAGGTATCTAAAACCAAATTAAACAGAAGTTGTTGAATCCCCATGGTCAACACTTGCTTGAGAATGCATATAACTAATCCTCATTAAAGTGAGATATCATATAGAGCAGCAATAGCTCGAATGGGCTTACATGGCTGCCCTAAGATTTTTTTTCTTTACAGTTTTCATCAATCAAGCACTGAAGCAATGGTCTGTCCACAATAATTAGTGGGTTATCCCATTGTCTTCCTATTGTCTCCTAAGTGCTGACAGATAACCAAGTTCACTTTATACGTCCAAGGATTTTGAGTTATGTTCATACAATAAAAGGAATTTTAGTTGTGTTGCTATAAACAGGGGAGGAAATCCAATGAACAATGTAATAGCGGATGAGCAACAGAGAAGGGATACGAATTTTACCTGGTTAGTTGCTCTTTTGTATATATCAAGGGCCCTAACAGCGTCATTTCTTTGCATTTCAAAGAACTGCAACAGGTAATGAGGTGTAAACTGGATGGGCAAAATAATAAAAATAGCTAGCGATTTAAGAAGTTTCACAAACTTATCCTAAGTGACAGCACAGAAAGTTCACCTTGTCAACAAGATTTATTGTCCCATCACTAATGGCAGTGTAGATCTTGACACTCTCCAGAGCAACCTTTCAGTAATGCATGAAACAAAGTCATTGAATGCCAAACCACTCATATACAATGCCTAAAAAAGAAACACGTGTGACATCTCAAAATAAGAAACAGAGGAAGCGAGCATATCCTACTTACCATTGAAAGCGCATGCTGGATTATAACATTATAAGATGATGCCCCTTGTGGCTGCAAAATTCAGTAATTCGTAACATGTCAAGAACATCACATGAAGAAAGGATTTGGTGAAACTAAAGAACTTGTGGTCGGCAAATAGCCCGTTACCTGGCAAGCAAGAAGCCGGAAAAGAAGTTGCTGCAGTGGTGGCAGGTGATCTAGCACACCAACAGTATCAAGATCCCGAGTCCTCTGCAGATATCAGAATTTTCCATAGAAACTTAGATGTGAAACTGAACTATTGTAACACAAACATTTTATGTTGACGTATATTTCAAATAGGATAAACTAACTAGTGTAAGTTTGGCTTCGGCGTACTATCTATTATGCATTGAAAATTTTGATCTAGTTATTCTTTAAGCACATGAAGCATGCTCCACATAATTATATCAACAATTAAAGGAAGTCTCATAGATGCAGTTAAGAGGAATAAGTAGGACTAGCATTGTATTTATGGTTACTTTGCTGTTGAGGGAAACTAGTATGATATACATACCGGAGGATCCGACTCCACATCATACTTCAGCACTCGGAAACATTCAAGTCTCTCTTCCAAATATGAAGCATAAGTGCGTACCCATGCAGAATAATCCCAAGCTGAACCAACAAGTAGAGAGCAAACAATCATGAAAAGTTCTCAAAACAGTATATGTATATAAATGACAGTACTAGTATGAATGTCATTTCGGCACCGGTGATAACACAACTACAAGCAATTAGTACCTCCTGAACTAGAATCATCCTTAAAGTAGGCCATGTTTAGCATATGTGATCTAGATCTGCCATAATTAATAAGCTCTTCACGAAACGTGGGATCAACTTCGCGAAGGGCACGATGTATGACAATTAATGTCTTCAGCGCAACCTGAGGAATAAATAACCAAGCAAAGAATGTTTATAAGTTCTTTATTGCATCACACATGAAAAGCATTATAAATAAAAAAAGGAAACCATCCACCATTCAAATAAAGTTTTTTCTTGTAGGAAAATAAATAAAGAATCAACAAGTTGATTTACTAAAGTTCAAACAATATATTATGGCTCTCAGAAGTTAGAATATAACATGTCATTCAGAATTAAGCACCATGAGGGAGGAGATATGATAGTTTAACAGGAAAATTTCAGATCTGAACCTGAATTTGAAATTAAATATGGAATGTGTACAGAGAATCATTTTGCATAATTAAGTACAATAGAAATCTCCAGCTCACAAGCATGCCTTGACAAACCATCCATCCCATCCCAAGTACTCCCTCCGTCCCATAATACAAGAGCGTTTTCAATACTAGTGTAGTGTAAAAAACGCTCTTATATTATGGGACGGAGGGAGTACATATCAGTACAAAATTTGAAGTTTACACATTTCAGGTTTTATAAAAAGTAAGACCATACATGTTACCATGTCCTTATGAACATCACAAAGTTTACAAAGATTGCACCGAGATAGAATATGTAAAAAAGGGTTTTTGATACAAAAAGAGAACTAGTACATTCTAACAGAACAACAATCATAAGAAAACAAAGACAATGGCATTGTATTTGACCATCATAAATGGAAGAAATAAATCCATACCGCCCAGTTTCGTGTCTTCGAAAGACGCCTCGCTAGAGCATGAATGCAGTAAGCTACATCGGCCCTTGGCCTTGCAGCAGAAATGGAGAGGAAAATCTCTGCAAACCAATAAACCTGTGGGTGATGGCAGTTGTAAAAGCTATCTACTCGCAATCAGAGAGAAAATTAGCGCGTCCGCAATACAAATACCAGGACAAATGCATGTAACCGTAAGCGAATGAAACTTCAAGCAGAACAGTGTTTTTCGTTGAAACAGTTTGTTCTGGCATATATTCAGTTGGATTTGCGCACATGCTCAACTTTTTACAAAATTGTAGATGGTTCAAAACTTCAGATGATGAAACGCTCAGTTCGCCGTAGTGGTGGTTCAACTAAGAGATGCGGTAAACCATTACCTCTTATGTACTTCTCCCTCGATGGACGCTCGCTATGGTTGGTGGCCTTCACAATTGCAATGTCCAGCTCCTGTTGTCCCGGAGAAATGGTGAGCCAGCAGTGAGTGAAGCACGACGGAAGCAGAGGTTCAAATATGGAAAGCTTCAAAGACAATTCAACATCCAACGGAATCATGAAAGTGGCCCGACCTTGTAATCGCTGTTCACTTTGGCCAGGCTCACAGTTGTGGTGTCCTTGAGGGCGCCGAGGTACTTCCTGAGGCTCTGCTGAGTGCCACCACCCGCCATTATCCCCAGCTCACGTGTGATGTCCTAGCTGGCCTGATTGCGAAGCAAAGCAGCAAAGCAGTGTAAATGAGATGTGCGCCAAACGCAAGCCAAATAAATGCTGTTTTCTCAGAATGAACCAGACAATGCAACAGCTAGATGACGGGTGCATGGGGCCTGGAACGGTTCCAGCTTTGGTTCAGCAAGAACTACTTCTCACCAAACTAGAAGCATTTACTACAAATCTACAAGCATAAGATATTAAGATGGAAGCAATTACTAGATAATTTTAGCAAGAACACGCAAGATCAATCAGTACAGCAACGGATCCAGAAGAAGATCGCCAAGAAAGCGGATCCAAATGAGCTGCAAACAGAAGAGGGCGAGGCAGGGGAACCAACGGCACCAAAATCTCTGACGCACCCAAGGGATATATTCCGCGAGATAAAGAGGAACGGGATGCCAAAGTGAACTCCACCGAATACTTGTGCAGAACAATTGAGCTAGATTGGTGGGAGAGAAAGTGGTCAGGAGCACGGATCCTATCTATCAAGGCCCATCTCCGGCAGGACTCTCCAGCAAGCCACCACTCACCTACAGAGCAGAAGCGCAAGAACACCGACAGAAGCGGAAGGCTGCTGAGACAAATGGCCGAACAGAGGCTGCACCGATGATACTGCTGCTCAGCGTAATAACCATGCGAATGAACGAAATGAAACAGAGGAGCCGAGCTGATGTTTCCTCCAAACCGAGCGGGACAAGGCAGGCAGGAATCCCGTCCGGATTCTCCGGGGAAAGCAGCGCAAACTTCTATGCCCGACAAAGAACAAGGGGACAAGTATAAATTCAAACTTCAATTCAACGCAATGGACAATTCAACTCAGAATACTGACGCCGACGAAGGCAAGAGTCCACCTGACGTGCTCCGGCAAGCAATCCCCGGGAGGCCGGTCGCTGGATCCAGCCGCGCGGCCGCAAAACCAGGGATCCAACTGAGCAACGGTAGCCGGAAACAGCGAGAGGAGGGGGGATTTCAACTTTCAAACCGGAGCTGTGGCAAACGAACAAGAAAGAAAGCAAATAGACAATCATTCGGCCGCACGGCGCCCCAGGAAAACAAACGGCTTTAATCAGGGCTCGAGCCCTGCGCCGCCACGCCACGGCCCCCAGAATCGCCCAAAAAGCTGGCACCGCCGCAATCGAGAAGCATACGGCCAATTAGCCACACAAAACTACTCTAAGCAGCAGAGAAATTA